CATCTTTAATGTCACTCTAAACATAGCCAAACATCTTGTTATTTAACAGTATTCTCTTTTTCTGACTCTGCATTACTAAAAACCTAGCAGATTACATAAAACTAATCAAACCCCAAGATGCCATTTTGATTTTTTAATTTGCTTCTTTATAATGTATAACACCCTGTTGAAGCCATAAAAGATGGCAAAATTATTCAGTGATTATTCTGCTTCATTACTGCAATTGAGAGCCTATAAGTCCTATTTCAAAGGCTCCAACAGCAGTTTTCATACTGCTTTGTCCTTCCAACAGAATTTATCCTAAAGAGGACTGTAAAGATTCATGACGCAATCCTTTTATCCTCTCACCTGCAAATGGAACCTATCAAAATGACAGTTTAGAGAACTCCCACCCAATTACTTCTAAATAAATACTCCTTTAAAACCTACTTGATAGTTATCTTTTCCAAAACAGTGTCCTGATACACTCCCATGGTTCCCTGTATATCATGTTTAATTAACGCTAGAATAAATGAATAAATAAATGGTATTTATTCAGAATTGATTCAAGTGTCTTTTTTTATCTCTGCCTATTTTTATTTTTTTTCCTTTTTTTTATTGTGAAAATACTGTACAGAGGGGTTACAATTACATGGGCAAGATAGTGAGTACATTTCTTATCAAGCATTGTAGCCTCCTCCTTTGTTTACCCTTCCCATCCCTTCCCATCCTCCACCCCGCCCCCAAGTTGTAAAGTTCGTTTTTGACATGACAACTTGTACTTCTCATTGTTGCAACAGGTCCACCTGTATCCTTATTTAAACGACTTGTTTTTCCCCTTCCCCTCCACAAATTATACCGACATCAACTACAGTGAAAGCAGGGGTTATACTGTGGGGGAGGGACATACAAAGCAACAAAGAAATAATCTTATAATTGCGTTAGAAACAAATGCATGAAAGAAAAAAAGAACATTTAAAATACATATCTTAGGGTTCATTTTCCTAACATCACCTTATCTGACCTTTTCTGCTTGACTCAGATAATATACTAGATATTGCAAATAAGGGAAACCATGGGACCTATGTTTCTTTGGGCTTGGCTTACTTCACTTAATATAATTTTTCCAGGTCTTTCCATTTCCTAACAAATCATCTTTCTGCCTATTTTTAAATCAAGCTGTCATTCATAGAAAACTTCAGTCTCAGAAAAAAACACATTTTCTAATTTATTGCCTAGGATTAAATAAGAATATGATTGTCAAAAGATCTAATGGTTGAACACAGGGAAAAGAGAGTCACGTCCTACTGCTCATCAATGCCTGTCTTCAAGTACAGTCAAGTCTTCAAGTTCAGTCATGAGAAAGATGAACATGAGCAGCATGAAAGGAAAGTTCACCTGTATGGCTGGAGTACAACTAAAGGCAAGCTCATGAAAAGTCTCAAAAGGGCTGAAAAAGTAGAAATGGAAGAAAAATAATAGATCACAAATTAAAGACTCTATGTTAAAGTAGAAAGAAACTTAAGAGGTTATCTTTATCCAACTTCCAAGAGATATATCCTTTGATTAATTCTGAGACTGAGATTTTGGCAAAATGTTCCTATTTGGATGAAAATACATGTTAAAGACATTTGCACTTTACAAGAAATTCCTTAGTGTTTTCTGCACCACACGTATTCTAGAAATCTGGTTTCATGTCATAACGGGGGGCGGGGGGGGGCTGAACTTTCCAAATCCTAATTAATGCTTACCACCTATTACTACTCCATTGTACTTCCTCCAAAAGTCACCTGGGTCTTACTATTCCATTTAGTAAGCTAGATAGGCCTACCTATTAGACTTTGAATTAGTAATTCCTTCCCTCTAACATAGTCTTGATCTAGACAGCCACAGGGTACCTCTTTCATACCTCTTAAATGTCATCATCTCATGGTACTTACCCTATTGTCAAATTGCAAACCCACACTTGTGCTCCCCTTTGATCAAGTTCTGGCATACTGTTTAATTTAATCACTGTATTAACTATCAACTGTATAGTCATTAAAGGCAGAGACAGCCATCCCCCTCAAGCATCAAGAACAGTAAGAATTAAATATTTATTAAATGAATGGGTAAATAAACTAATGAATGAACAAACCTCCATTTGTTCCTCTGTAAAATATCAGAATTGGTCCCTAAGTCCCTTGCAAGTTTTAACTTTCTATGACCTCATGTAATTCCCTCTCCTAATACGAACTGTTAGGGCATAGAGCTCAAAAATAAATAATATATACAAGATTAAAATATTTTGGTATTAAAGATTTGGTTAGCCAGTCACATGTCTGTAATCCCAGCAGTCAGGAGACTAAGGCAAAAGTGTGGACTATGTAGAAATCTCCTGTCTCAAAAAAAAGTTTTTTTAATTAAACAGATTAAGAAGGACTCAGAAATTGCCTTGCAGCCTATTCCTAACTGCCAATTTCCCTAAGCAAATCCTGCATAGTTTTCATTTCTCCATTGACCTCAACGCTAGCAAAATGGTACTTCACAGAAAACCTTGTGCAAACAACAGCTATGGTGGGTTACTATATAAAATACCACAGGATCTACAACTTTTGAAAACCAGAGACATATTATGGCCCAAAAAGGCTATATTAAAGAAGAGTAATTTTTAAATCTGCTCACCGGCAATATTAAGTGCCACAGTGTTTTAAATATAAAAGGGCTGCAGAAGTTTTGTTTTAGTTTTGTTCTCCTTTTCAGAGCAGGGCAAGCAGCATCTTCAACAAGAAGAAACTGTCTTCAATCCCATATTTTATGAGTAATTTATTTAATGAGTAACAGAGAAAAATAAATTAGGGGTAAAATATCTAAGATTAGAAAAATCATTCAATCCTTATACTGTACTTTTTTTTTTTCCAATGTTCTTAGTGAGTAAAGTCTTCAAATGCATAGAAAGTTACAAAGCTTTTCATCACCATGGTAATGCTACAAAAATGCAAAAAGAAAAAAAAGATTCTTACAGACACTAAGCCCTAAAAATAACAGTCATCTTACTTGCCACACCAACTGGTCTTTTTGTTGCCAGAATCTAAGCCTGGGAACCTAGAAAAGTAACTAAAGAACCTTTCCCCAAAAAAAGATAAAGTACTATAAAGAGCAGGTGCTTAAAAGCCAACATCAATTCCTTAGGAATATCCTTAACTAAACTGCAAAGCAAAGAATTTATAATTCTGATAGCATATCTTGCAAAGAAAACATGAATGGGCATGGTCAGAACATCAGGTCCACAGAGTCCAGCAGCTGGTTCAGAATACCAGGGCTCGCTCCATCTGCTCAGCCCTCTTTCTCTCCCTGGCCATTCCAACACTGCCCTCAGCACTTCATCCTCATGTGATAGGTAAATAACTTACTGAAAGAAAAAAAATGGAAAGGAAAAATAAATTGGTGAGAGCCAAATTCTGGAAGAATTATTTTAAAAAGAAAAATGTAGGGGCTGGGAAGGTGGCTCAGTGGTAGAGCGATTGCCTTGCATGCTCGAGGCCTTGGGTTCGATTCCTCAGCACCACATAAGCAAAAAAGAAAAAAGCCGGACGTGGCGCTGTGGCTCAAGTTGTAGAGCGCTAGCCTTGAGCTGAAGAGCTGAGGGACAGCGCCCAGGCCCAGAGTTCAGGCCCCACGACCGGACCAAAAAAAAAAAAAAAAAAAAAGAAAAATGTAGAGACTGTATAATTTATCATGTCCAAGTGTAATTTTTTTGTCTTTTACCATCCATAGAGTTTACCTGTAGATTTTTTTTTTTGCATTCTTTCTTTTAATAAATATTTTTTGTGAGGACACTGTACAAAGGGGTTACAGTTACATGAGTAAGGTAATGAGTACATTTCCTATGGAACATTGTTAACCCCTCCTCTGTTTTTCCCCTACCATCCCTTCCCAACTTCCCAACTCCTCCCTCCCTGCCCCCCAAGCTGTAAAGTTCATTTTCAACATAGTGTCTTGTACATCTCATTGTTACAATGGGTCAACCTGTATCCTTATTTCAGCTTCTTGTTATTTCCCTTCCCCTCCCCAATTAGAAAAATATATAAACAAGATGCAGGACACCAGACTCAAATACATTGAAGACAGGAGTTCTACCAAGGAGAAAGAACAACAAAAGAAACAAAAAAAAAAAATCACATAGCACATTTTACATACATTAAAACAACAGCAAGAAAGATACAACCTCTTGTGTCCCTATCTTGGGGTTCATTTTGCTTAGCATCATCCTATATGATCCTATGTACATAGGTTTTGACCTTTTCTGCTTGTCCTAGACATATACTAGTTATTGCAAATAACCATGGGGCCTATGTTTCTTTGGGCCTGGCTTATTTCACTTAATATAATTTTTTCCAAGTCTTTTCATTTCCTAACAAATGGGATGGTATCATTCTTTCTGATGGAGTATACTACATATATTATATCATATATATACATATCACATTTTCTTGATCCATTCATCTACTGAGGGCCATCTGGGTTGGTTCCATATCTTAGCTATGGTGAATAATGTTGCAATAAACATAGTTGTACTGGTAGCTTTAGTATGGCCTTCTTTGTGATCGTTGAGGTAAATGCCCAAAAGTGGGGTTTCTGGGTCATAGAGGAGCTCTATGTAGTCTTTTGAGGAACCTCCATACTGCTTTCCAAAGTGGTTGAACAAGTTTACACTCCCACCAACAATGCAGTAGGGTTCCTTTTTGGCAACATCACCCCCCCCCCAGCATCTGTTGTTATTAGATTTCTTGATTATAGCCATTCTAAGTGGGGTGAGGTAGACTCTCAATGTTGTTTTGATTTGCATTTCTTTTATGGCTAGAGAAGTTGAGCATTTCTTCATGTGTCTATTGGCCATTCTTATTTCCTCTTCAGAGAAGTTTATCTTTAAGTCTTTAGTCCACTTATTAATTGGGCAGTTGTTTCTTTGAGGATTTGTTGTTGGGGGATTTAATTTTTTGAGTTGTAAGTATATTTTAGATATGAGACCCTTGTCCATTAAAAATATGAAATGCTTCACAAATGTGAGTGTCATTCTTGAGCAGGGGCCATGCTAATCTTCTCAGTATCATTCCAATTTTAGTATATATGCTGCCAAAGCAAGCACTCTCTGTAGATTTCTAATTACTGCAAATGAGGAAAACTATGCAATCAATGTTTCTTTGGGCAGTGAGACCAAAGAAGGATATTCTCAGGAGAGGATCACAAAGGCTCAATAGCTATGTGCATATGATCATATAAAATGATGTTTATCAAAATGAGCTACAAGAACTGGAAACAAGAGAGTTTTTATTTTAGTTATTGTAATTTTTTTTGTCTTGTATGTAAGTTTATCTGTTTGGGGGAGGATAAAGGGAAAGCACAAAAAATAGTGAGACAAAGGGTGAACTAATTCAACAGTTATACTCATTAGATACTATGTTGGAAATAAACTATACAACTTGGAAGCGGAGGTGGGAGGGAAAAGAATGGGAAAAAATGAGGGAAGAGCTGACCCTGCGCCTAACCTAAGGAACTGTAACCTCTCTGCATATCACCTTTACAAAATAAATTTTTAAAACTTTTTAATTAACATTAAAAAAGAAAAATTACTTTTATGAGAAAGTTCTGAATAAAATCACATTAGAGTCAGATAATGAAATTCAAAGGTTGTATAATTTTGCTACATACATGTAATTAATGGAAAAAATAGGAATACATATTAAATGTAAAATTAGGGTAACTTCTCTTACTCAGAAGAAAATTCAGCAACTTCCTTGAACCAAATGAAAGAACGAATTACTGCAACAAACTGCACTTTACCACTAGAAATTTAAGACAGGTCAAAGGTTACAGAGAAGGAAAACCCAGCCAACAGCATCATTAGAGCTATTCAAAACAAAATTGCTACAGATTCTAATTGCAAATTTCAAACAAAGCCTGTGGTACATAATACTTTCTACCTAAAACCATAAAAATAACATAGGGGAGGAGAAAGCAACTTACTGCTTTTTTGCTTTCTAAAGATTATCATAATACATTTTTTTTTTGTATTAGGAGAGTATGGTATGTTAATCTATATCCTCATGGAGCAAAGAGTAGGTAAAGAAGAATTCCTAACAGAAAATTGGCTTTGGGGTCTAACTACAGGTTAAACTACAGTTTAACACTTCTTCATCCTTCTACAATATATTTTTTCAACTTTTTAAGAATTTTTTTTTTTTAATATTTAAGACCAGTCCTGGGACTTGAACTCAGGGACTATGTGCTGACCTTGAGCTTTGCTGCTCAAGGTTTTCACTCTGCCACTTGAGAAACAGCTCCACTTCCAAATATTTACATAACTATGCAGATATATCAAATAAAAATTAAAGTTCAAAAGCAACACAGAGCTGCTAAGCCACTATTACAATTATGACATAAGTTTATAGGATAATATAAAAATATTAATATTTAAGCCAAGGTAAGTTACAATTGGGCCATTAATTGCTATTAAATTGCTATTTCATTATACAGTATATGTTTTTCTTTCGTTTTGTTCTGAACTCAGCACTTTATACTCTCACTCTGCTTTTTGCTGACAGCTGGCATTCTACCATTTAAGATACCTCCAGCCCTGCTTTTTGCCAGTTATTCTGAAAATGGAGTCTAGCAAACTTTTCTACCTGGGCTCACTTCAGTGATCCTCAGATCTCAGCCTCCTTGTTAGGATTACAGGAGTGGGCCTCTAGTGCCTTGCTTATACTATTTGTTTAGGAACTACAGGTTTGCTTCAAGTGGTAACATACCACCCTTGAAAAAAAAACAGCCAAACAAGAACACAGGGCCCTGAGTTCTGAGTTTTTGAAAAATACAGATGCAACTGGGTTTGAACTCAGAGCTTACCACTTGCTAGGTGGATAAAAACCTTATGATACTTTTCAGACAGGATCTCGCACTCTTTCCAAGAGCTATCTCAGATTACAGTCCTCTAGCTCTGCCTCTCATATACCTGGATATATAGCTATGAACCACTCTAACTGGCTTGTATGTTAAGATGGGTTCTCAGTAACTTTCTGGCCTGAACTGGCCTAGAATTGAGCTCTTTCAATTCTCTGCCTTCTAAGTAGCTGGTATTATATGCACAAAACACCATACCTAGCCTGATGTAATATTTTAAATTAAGGGACACTAATAGTTTTTAAAAAATAGTAATACCTTCTCAAAGTTCAAAAAGAGTTAATCTAAAAAACAAAGAGTTAATCTATAAATTATCTTGCCGTAGTGAAACTAATTTTTTTATAAATGAAAAACCAATGTTACTTAATACCATACAAGTCACCAAAGCTAACTATTTTCAGGGCTTTTTAAGACAACATATTAAAGGCATAATAGAAGCATTTAAAAAAAAAACTTGTATCACTCAAGCCTCAGTCTTCTTACATGTAAAATAAAGATTAAGAACATATACTTATGTTTTAAAAACAATGACAATGATAATTTCAGAGCAAGAAAGAATGAGAGAAAGAGAGAGAGAGAGAGACCTTCAGAGATTCTCTACATATAAGCACTCCTTAAACACTGTATGTTAATTTATTTAATCCTAACCACAATACTATGAGGAGAGCATAAAACAACCTCCAATGAAGAAAGCAAGGAATGGAAAGGTGACTAATTTCCAAGAGTCAGGCAGCTAGCTTTAAATGTAGGAAATGGGAGCTCAGACAGGATGCTGTCAGTCTTCAAATAACCACTACACGATGGTTCTGTCCAAAGAATCATAACAAATTCAGCAGAAAAGCTAAGCATTCATTCTCAGCAAGTGGATATTTACCACACAAAATGACCATCCAAAGTAACATCCTAATTATTAATCAGGCAACTACATGACATAAACTTTGAGAATAACAAAATGATCCTTAATGCACACTTAGTGTGCATTGATATTGTCTGGGTTTTTTTTTTTCAGGTTGCTTTAAGAGTAAGAACCATGTCTAGTTTAAGATTTTATATGAGCTCAGAGGTCTTTTTTTTTTAAGACCTATTAAATAATAACTAACATACTGCACAGAAATTGTATTTAGAGTTTAAGGTTTTAAGGTATAAATTTATACAGATTACACAGCACAGATATAGCCAAAAATGCAGTTAAGAAAATGAAAGATCATATGCTCAAACCTAGAAGATTATCTCACTGGGCCAAAAGGAAATCAGCTATTGCTTACAATAGATACCAGGCAAAAGAGCAATTTACTACATTCTGCTTCTTATTTTCTTTTTGTTTTAGTTATATAGAGTTTGTTTCTCAGGCTCTGTTGTGAAATGGAGATACTTGTGGTAAGGCTCAAAGGAGAGTAAATGAGGATTATTATGGAAAGTAGATTGCAGTATTTGAAATCAGAACAAAGAAACCTGTTGAAATTGTTTTAGGAAGAGGGGAAGAGGGAAAATGAAGCTGATTTAATACACTATACACATGAGTGGAAACATTACAGTAAAATCTCCCCTCTCCCATATAATTAATATATGGGGATTTTTTTTAATTTTATCTGGAAAAACAAGTTTTCAAAAAACAGAAACCTATGTTTCTATGCTAAATCATAAGCACAATACTTAATATAGGCTGACACATATGATAATAACAGGTACTGAAGTCTTCCTACTAGTGTCAGGCATTTTATTACATGTATATAGTATCATCAAAGCTCTGTAAAGTAGCTATTATTTTTATTATTACACATTTCCACAGATGATAAACCTAAGCTGAGGTCAAGTGCCTTGCCCAAGTACATATGGTTAATAAGTGATGAGATGGGACACAAAATCAATTTTCCTGAATCCAAAGACCATGCTTTTCCTACTCAAAATGCCCAGCCTAGCTAGTAGCTCTGGGATCACTTGGAGAGCTAGTTAGCAAAAGTAATGCTCAAACCTCAGCCTAAAAATACAAGTTCCCAGAGATTTTGACTTACCAAGCTCCTAGGTGATTCTAATGTAGCAAGATGGCTCAGGTCCTTGAAGTAGGATTTTAAAACCTCTGTCCTGCCTCCAATTGCCTCCCTCATTTTCCAGTGGGTTTAGTGACTTGAAAGTGGGATTACAAAATCCAAGCCATTAAGCTTTAGATTCAAGTACAAAACTCAATAAGAGAGTAAGGATACAATCTGTTGCAGATTGGGAAATTCATTTTGGTAAATGACATCATTATCTTTTCATTCACCACGAAAACTGGGAGTCATCTTCAAGCTTCCTCCCTTTAATCTGTCTCTTGAATTGATCTCTTCCTTGAACCAGAGGACATTACCATCTGTAGCTGGACTGATGGTTACTGCCAGTCACCGGCCAACAGTAACCCTTAACCACACCTCCTCTTCATACACAGATCTAACCTCACTATGACGTTGAAAAATGTCATTCTACACTTGCCTAGCCATCCTGCAGCTAAAACATGGTCATGAGGTCCAATCCTGATCAGTTAGGAAGGACTCATGAAACTTTTCTTGCCAAACAAGGAAACACCCCCTTTTTCTTCCTCTTTGCTAGTGGGTGAGGCAATCACCTTGTATGATTAAGCCAAGAGAAACATAGAAGTACCACCCCAGAACCCTGATGTAGTTGAACTGCTTTTTATCTAACCCTATAACCTGAAGACTGGTATGTGAGATAATAAACCCCTATTTTTAAGACAATTCTCATTCTGGCTAGTGCAATAACCTCCCAACACCTCCAATCTGTCCAATTGTTCTTCAATAGCACCCTAAACCTTACTTTTGAAAACCATAGATTTTTGTCGTGAATTGTTCACTGGTGAAAACCTTCCTAAGATATCCTACCACTCACAAGACAAAATTCCACACCTCTTTATATCACAGGCAAATTATCCTTAGATAATTATGTCACACACCAAATTATCCTTAGATTCTCAATAGTTCTCTTGTCCCAGTATCCCAATATACTACATACTAAATCCACACGAGCCATTTCTCTTCCAAAACATCTCGTAATTTCCTGCTATTGTAACTTGTTCACATAAACCCTTCAACCTAGAACTCTACTGTTTCTCTACCAGCTAGCTTTCTTCACAGCCTTCCCAGGACTGGGATTAATTTCTCTGCTCTGGTAATAAATAACACAGTTTGTTTGTGCTCA